GATTTTTTATTCTCTGGTCCCTACCCTCTGCCCCAGCTGAGTAAGTACGAGTACGTTGTAAGTGTATACAAGTATTTTCTTAGAACTGAAATTCGTCAGTACCGATTGTAATTAATGATGCAGCATAATATATTTCTCTTAACACCATGCAACATTTTAGTTAGATTTTCTCAAAACGTTCTGTTCAAGCCGGCTTTAGTGGAAGTTAGCTACTCTCCCCACCCCACCTCTTTAAAAGAAAAAAAAGAATGCCAACCTTCTCCACTAACTCAGCGTTTATACACACTCATTGGCGTATTAAAACTGTTTGGTGGTTATAATTTGCCTGATGGTGGATTTGTGGGGGGTGAGCCCCCCTCCCCCCCCCCCTCCTTAGATTTATTGTAGTATATGATGCGGGTGTGGAGTTGGTGTGTAGTACACCTTTATAACATTACCCTGCGCATATCCTAGCGTAGAACCAGTGCAGTCTAGCCGCACCGAGAAGAACTCAATATCGTGGTCAGTCGGGGGCATCTCCACCGAAAAAAGTGCTGAAGTCACTTCATTTCAACGCTGACGATGCCAACTCATTTCATCGACACATCACTTCACAGCTACGAAATGCTATCTCAATTTTTTTAAAACAATTTCAGAGCTATAATTTTTTTCTTTTTTATTTCAGGTAACAACAGCGCCCGTGGAACCAGCAGACATCATGAGATTTTGGAGATAAAATAGATCTAGTCTCAACACGTCACCATGAGATTTCCCTTTGCTTGTTGCTCGTGGTTACGTGCATGTGGGCTGGCCCTACTAACCAGGCGGTTGTTTACGCGGAACTGTTGTGTGCTATTATGGAAATGCATGCTACTCGCGATCTCATTGCCCATCATAGTCATGCTGATACCACCTGTTCGGAACCTGATACTGTACCCGTGGTGGCCTCGTATTTGGCGGGAAGTCAGCACCATCGACATCATTGTGATGACGCGACGAGAATTCCCACCAAACGTCACAGCACTACAGTGTGTGAAAAGGGTACCGCCAATTGTGGAACGAGATGATAAACGGCTATTTGGGGACATGCGCTTTTTAAAAAAACCAGCTTTTCCTGTTACAAGTATGGAGTCCGCGAAGTCGCTGAAACTGAATCATCCTGACCATAAACTCTTTCTGCCCGCCATGAGTAAAGAGGAATCCAAAGACTTACTGCACACTTATTTGGTCATAGCGGAAGCTCTTCAGAAAGTAAATGTAGAACATTTCCTTGAAGGAGGCTCGATGTTAGGGTCGTTACGTCATCAGGGATTCATTCCATGGGACGATGACCTTGACATTGCCATAAATGTCAAGGATTGGGTGAAAGTTAGGGAAGCACTGTCCTGCATTGAAGGCTTCCACCTCCGAGTACAGCCAAACATGCACTGGGCCTTTCGTCGTCAACGCTACCGTTTTCCTTACATTGACATTTTCTTCTATGCAGAAGACGAAACCCATATCTGGGCATTGGCTTATTATATCATGAGAATGACTTTTGTTTTATCGAAGAAGGATGTGTTCCCTCTCACCACGGGTTTCTTTGAGGGCCATCTTGTCCCGTTGCCTCGGTATGCCGATCGAGTGGCGAGAAAAGTTTTCGAATACGATTACTGTCTGTCTCCGGACGCTCACCATCGGGACCACGTTGAACTTCCGGTGAGGAAGAATGTGCCCTGCTCAGAGCTGAGTTATTTATACCAGTCTTTCAACTTGAAGGTGTGACGACAGGGAAATCATTTGATGCTACACAAGTGTTATGTTGTGATCAGAAATTAAAATGATATTGCAATGAGTAATAATAATGATAATAATTGCATTTATATAGTGCATATCTACGCTCTACAGCATGCTCTATGCATTTTACAACTTTTGTTACCCCAACAGACCCTAAAACACTCAGAAACATTCGCGGCGTCCCGGGAAGCATACAGCGCTAGCTGCAGATTGTACGCGCTCAGCATTAACAAACTGAGATCGAGAAGATCGTTTGCTTTAAATAGCCGAGTACCAATTTTCACCTGGGAAAAGTGAGGAAAATTCGTGTAAAGTGCCTTTCCCAAGGATACAACGTATGGCCCCTGATGGGGTTAGAACCCGTGACCTTACAGTTGTGAGTCCGACAGCCTAACCTCTAGTGCGTAATGTGGAAGAAATGTTGATTTTTATGCGTGCATGTACCACCGATTACTTTTATTAGTATTAGTATTATCGGCCATACTTTTTATCTAGTATTATTTAGAAATCGAATTATGTAGTGTATTCATAAATTATAGGGTACGTGATTCAATGTTTTCCACGGCATGCCGTCTGAAAATCGGAAGTGACACCTATACGGTATGCCGTCTTGAGTCTGAAGATCGGAATTGATATTTCGACGGCATAGACTCTGCTTCAAGTGTATAAATGAAAGAATTGTGTTTGTTTTCCCGGCAACGAGTAGGGTGATCATCCCTACCCGACCCGACTCGATCCCATCCGCAAATGGGCACCCTACTGTTGGAAAAAAAAACAGTCTTCTCTCCATTTTGCTAGCACAAGATAAATTGTGCATTTCTCACTCTCGTTGCAATCACACAAAACATTTCATCATTATTCATAATGCACAAAATGATAGCGAAGGATAAACATTGTTAACTTAACATACAGGTATCTTAAATTGTATCTCTGTAATGCGTTACTTAAATTATGGAAAAGAGATTATAGGCTTCATTATAAATAGTCCGGATGTTCTGATTGGCTGAATTTATGTGCCGTGGAATTATCACTTCCGATTTTTCGACGGCCTGCCGTATAAATATCCACTTCCATTATCATATCATCGGTGTTCAGCTCTTGCTGGGTATCCGCCAAATCTTCTTCCCTGCGTTTTCCTGCTAGAATTGTCAGTGATGTAGTCCTACTGCTGGTTCTTCAGCCTGCAATGCAACTGATTTTTTCTAATGTGACCGTTTTTCCTATGTCGTAGAGCACTTTGCCTTCAGGCAGCCACATTCCGATTGTGAAGGCACTCTATTTTTATTATTTTTACTGACCAGTGTATTTTCAGTTTTGGTAGGAATTAATTTTCAATTTTGCCCGAGTGGCAGCCGAAACCTGCTCTTATCGATTTTGGGACCACAATGGAATCTTTAACGTGCGCATTTGCACGCAGGACCTCCAACTCCAAGATTTTTCGCCCTTATCCGGGAGGCTATGTTTCATATCTTATCGACCCTAAGATCAGGCCTGTGGTTGAAAGACAGCAGTGAGAAAGAGCCAGTTACATTATGTAGTAGTAGTTAAAGAGCCAGGAGTGAGGGAGAGAGGAGATCAGAGAATGCTGAGGGGTTGGGTTATGAAGTGGAGATGAAAGTGTGAGTGCAGATGACAGAACATGACCAGAGAAAAGGAAAGAACTTGAAGTTGAAGGGAGAAAATTTTAGAGAAGAAAATAGTTCGTCGCTCATAGGTTTCGATCCCGGGACTTTTTGAATAAGAGGAGAACACCGTACTTCTAGACCACGAGATCTTGAGCCCCTGTCCGCCAAATTGGGTTACATGAAATAGGCCTACTAGCTCGGATTTTTTTGGTTTTGTTTTTTGCTCAAACTAATCTGATTTTCAACTGTCTTAACGGAATCCCCCCC